CCCAACTCGGGTACATATCGGAGAAGGAGGAGCTGGGCTCGTCCTGGCGCCGTTACTCGTCGCAACCGACCTCCAGGAGCTGCGGCGGCGGCGACAGCCGGAACTCGCGGCGCCTACAGGCCCCGGAGCGTGTAAACGGAACGCGCCAGTGCGCCGGCGCTACGGAGCTGGGCCCGCGACCGAGAAGGCGGGGACCGGTCTGAAGCGAGTACGCCTGCGCAGTATCCACCGAGAGGAGAACAAAGGCGAGGTAGAGCGGCCCTTTTCTTGGCTACTCTCTACTGTCATCTTCCGTCAGGTTTAGGTAGTGCAGGGGCAAGTAGCAGTTTCTCATAGAACAGAGAGACCATAGAGTCTCACAGCCAAAAGGGGCGGTTAGAGATCCTATCGCCCCATGGGTTCATTTTTGAATGGAAAAAAAAAAGAGGTTCCATTCACAATAGCAACAATCGCAACAACAACCGAAAAAACACAAAATAACCAGGAAACACTGTAATAAGAAATATGTGAAACCAATATTAAAAAAAAAAGCCTATGAAATGTTCATGTGAGGTATTGATTAACTTGAAATAATGAAGAGGCTTACTATTGTCCTAAATGGAAGAGTGAATATTTGTAAAAATGTCAGTTGATTTTAAACTTAATGCCATTCTAATAATAACAACACAAAAATCCAATCAGAAACTAATTTTGCGAGAGGATGGAGACTTGTTTGAAGACAGAATGCAAGGCTGCACCAGTTCCTGCAAGCATATGAAGGGTAACGTTTTCAAGTATTGTAAAAGGAGAGACGTGGACATCTTTAGACTGTCTCATCACATAAAACCCATGTGGAAAAATCGCAGCGTTAAAGCACGAATAGCAGATACAGAGATTAGCTAGAGAAGATAACTTAAAATAGAATCCTCCAAAAATCTCAACATAGTAAAGAACCTGAACACCTACTTTAGCTTAAGTCAATCATTGAAAAGTAAAGCCGGTCAATGATATGATTTTTTAAAAAAGAAGAAAAGAAAAGTAAAGCCGATACACAACAGATTCTGCAAAAAGCCACTACTTAACTCTGAAAACAATAAGTATCTCAGTAGTGTAGTACATAAAAATTGAACCTTGAATCCACTTCAGCAACCTAAATGTAATCCCTGCCCCCTACACACGCATGCAGGCATGCACACTGATCATGATTTAGGTGAAAGTTTACAGAGAAAATTGGTTTCCCATTTCATGATCCGTACACACTTTGATTCCACACATTGCAATCCCTATAATGTAACAGCACTCTCTTCTTTTTCGTCCAGTTTCTTATCCCTTCCTACTTTCTGAACTTTATTACTGAGCAAAACTGCCCTTTGGGTTGCTTTGGGTTGGTTGTTCTAGCAAGGGCTTAACCTGTCTGTTGTTCGTAATCGTCTAATAGGTCTGTCTACTGTTGGAATGAAAGTTGATCCAGGGAGTAAGTGCCCTTCTAGACTTAAAAGATGTCTAAGGGCCACAGTCTTAGGTGGTCCACAAATTTCTAACAAACTAGTGAGCCTGGTCTTTTTAATGATTTTTAGTCTTATGCTACATTTTCCTCCCAGGCTTTGCGAGACCTCCTATTAACGCTTTCAGAGTGGTCACTAGGGGTAGCTGGGCCTGATCTGGTTCTTCTGGTCTCGGGGTTGCAAAGGCTGAGATTCCCATAATCCACTAGTCCTTTAGACGAATTGTTTCCAGGAAGTTTCTGTTGTCTGCACTCTTCTTGGTTCCAGACACTGAGAGACCAATAGTTACACGTTAGCTGTCAATGTTCACCTCTCTGAGGAGGTAGATGTAAAGAGAGAGCAGCTAAGCATCCTTCAGAAGAAAGAGCTTCCTTTTCTGAAATAAGGATTTAGTTGCTTTCTCATCTGCCTGTCACTTTGTCACACGGTGATGGCTTGCATGTGACAAGGATGCTGGAAAGGATGCTATGGATAGTTCCAAAACCAATTTTCTTAAAACTGCTGCTTCCTAACAAGGCCCCATGGTCATTTGAGAAAATCTACCAAGATTATCCTTTGAGGTCGTGTAAAATAGTCAGCATAACTTTGTGAGCTGACCCCTCCCCCTTGAATCTAACTGGTCCAGCAGATAGCCTGGGAAGCCACACTTCTGAGTGGATCTTTCTTCTTTTATTCTTTTTTTTTGTGAGACAGTGAGCAAGTGAGGCAGTGAGTGAGAGTGAGACAGTGAGTTGAGTGAGTGAGTGAGTGAGTGAGACAGTGAGTGAGGCAGTGAGTGAGAGTGAGAGAGCAAGACAGTGAGTGAGTGAGATAATGAGACAGTGAGAGAGTGAGTCAGAGATAGTGAGACAGTGAGTGAGTGTGAGACAGTGAGTGAGTGAGAGTGAGACAGTGAGTGAGTGAGACATTGAGTCAGTGAGTCAGTGAGACATTGAGACAGTGGATGAATGAGGCAGTGAGTGAGGCAGTGAGCAAGTGAGGCAGTGAGCAAGACAGTGAGTGAGTGAGTGAGGCCATGAGTGTGTGAGGCAGTGAGTGAGTGAGTGAGTGAGTGAGTAAGAGTCAGTGAGTGACTGAGACAGTGAGAGAGTGAAACTGTAAGTGAGTGAGTGAGTGAGTAAATGTCCCAGTGAGAGTGAGGCAGTGAGTGAGTGAGGCAGTGAGTGAGAGTGAGACAGTGAGTGAGAGTGAGACAGTAGGTGAGTGAGACAGAGAGAGAGTGAAACAGTGAGTGAGTGAGTGAATCAGTGAGTGTGTGTCAATGAGTGAGTGAGTGAGTGAATGTACCAGTGAGTGAGACAGTGAGTGAGGCAGTGAACAAGTGAAGCAGTGAGTGAGTGAGTCCGTGAGTGAGAAAGTGAGGCAGTGAGTGAGAGTGAGACAGGGAGTGAGGGAGAGAGTGAGTGAGTGAGGCAGCGAGTGTGTCGAGTGGATCTTTCTTTATTTTAGAACTCTAATGATGCTAAGAAGAGTTTGTAGCCATCCACTCAGAACATCACCTCAGTCTCCAGAAGACACTGTGCTTCAGACTCTTGCTGTTGTGGTTAGGTGCTGTTGAGTACCTTCTGATTCACAGCAACCCTGCGGGTAAGAGAATGCAACATGGCCCAGTCCTGCACATCCTTACAATTCCTGCTATATTTGCCCATTATCGGGAAATGCGTCAATCTATGTCGTTAAGACTCTTCCTCCTTTTTTTAACTGACCTTCCATTTTAAAAGATATGACGTCCTTCTCCAGGCATGGGTCCTTCCTGATAATAGTTCAAAGTACATGGGATAGAGTCCTTTCCATCCTTGCTTCCAAGGAACATTCTAACTGCACTTCTTGCAAAATAAATTTTCTGGCAGTCCATGCTATATTTAATATCTTTGTCAACAGTTCATCTGTGGTCTTATTCATTGTCCAGCTTTCTCATGCCCGTGAGGCAATTGAAGACACCATAAATGCACTACATTTGGTTGCTTGACTGCTGCTTCTATCGGCGGCATTGATTGTGGATACTGGTAAAATTAAATCTTTGACAACTTCCATAGTTTCTCATGTATCACCAAGTTTCTCATTGATCCACTTGGGAGGGGTGACATTTTAGTCACAGTGATTTCACAATACATAATAAATGTCAGACCCCTATTGTTTAGTCAAAGATTTACTCATCTAAATGAGAAAAGGTAAATAATACAATTTATTCAAAACGAACTAAGGAATGAAATGTCTCATGAAAGCACAACGAAGCCAAAGGGTTTTGTGTGAGAGACCTCAGAGATCTCACTGCCAGCGCTGTCAATGTCAACTACCACAGTCTTCAGTGATGGAGAGCTGGAATCCAGCCACGTGTGTTTCTTGTTAGGTTTCATCCTTGCTGTTACTAGGGAGATGGGTATTGAGTGGGAGAAGGAAATGGCATTTGGCTGACTATGCTTTGAGGCTGTGTTCTGATTAGCTGGTGACTTTTGTGCCTAGTTTTATGATATAAAAATCCCCGGTAGCTATTGCAGTCTGTGTCTTTCTAAACAATAAGATCTAGAAACATATTGTCTGCTATTGGACCTCTGCACACGTATGCTGGCATGTTACCAGGATCCTAGAGGAATAGTATCTAGATTCAAACGAACCTGGCTACCTATTACCTTCATCCCCTTCATATCACCAGGGGCCCAGGCATCATCCTTTTCACGCTGTCCCGGGGCTGTGTTCCCATTTCATCCTAAAGAAACCCATGTGCTCATAAATGATCTAAGTTGCCATTGTGGTAGTGTTTCTGAATATTCCCGACCATCTGTAGAGTTTAAAAGAGCCTGGAACTGGAGGTTAGTTTTATCCTTTACAGTTACTTGGATGTTAACCATTAACAACCACTATACCACACTTTCATGTTGAGAAAAATGGTGTTGAATCTGAACACTGCTTTGGATTGTACCCACATTTTTTTTCCATTTCAAGCTGCAAAAGTTTATTTCATTATTCTTTCAGTGGTTTCATTAGTTTCATTAGGTTCATCATTAGTTTCAGTGGTTAATATGTAAATTTTTTAATCATTTGTGGGGGGAGATCAGACTGCTGTCTCACCACACCACAGGGGTGGGCCTGCTCCCTGCTGCTGGAGACAGTGGATTACTTCTCCCCAAAACTTGCAACCATTTGCTTGGTTCTTGTAGGTGGAGTTCACACCCTACTGATAATGGCTCATATGGAGATCCAGAAAACAGGTCAAAGTT